TTCTACTGAATTCGCGTAAGTAGATGGCGAATTTTGGGCAAAGCCGAGAGGAGTGTCGCCATTGTGACAAGCAAAGGAGTTAAATAAATGAAAGCATAACTAGGAAAGTTGAGTTGTCAATAAGACAATTTTGAAGCAAATGCGAAATCAAAGTGACTTTGCTGTTGTAGTAGGTGGAGACGTGCGTCGTGTAGTAAGTCGAGAGTACCACAAATGTGATTCGAACGAAAGTGTGAGCACGTTATTGCGTGAGGAGGCACAACAACTTGCCTGTCTGTTAGAAAAGCAATAAATTCACGGCTTTATATGAGTCGCTCGAGTCAAGATGAGTCTACTATGCCTTCTCTGTAATTAAGTAAGCATCTGCCAATATTTAGCGCCTCATTGTGGCGTCTTTGTCAGCAGAAGATATAACTTTACGGCCGTGGATATTTCGTGTTTTACATCTTAAAAGTACACAATCAGTGCAACAGGAAATAGCGAGCGAAGCCACAGTCCATATCCTCATCGACAATGCGAGTCCAGTTGCTGTCTTCTGAAATGTAGTTGTCAACATATCGAGTTCTTAGGGGGGAAGGGGTGGAGTAGGCATTGTAGTGCTTCAAGGCCTGCAGGCCAGACATCGTCACCCGTGGGAGGATTAGAAATTGTTGATTGCTGGGGAAACACGCTGACACCTACCGTCCCTTATGAAGCCGTCCTACTTGATGTGAGGGTGGGCTACGTTGCATCGCCTTCTCCTGCATCACCTCAGTGCGCTTATTTGTACGATTTCGAGTTGCTGACATGGAAGGTACATGCAAGTCCACAAGTCTGTGTGCGTGTGAACGGGCGCAGTGTCGGAGACCGAGGTGATGGGAGAGAGTGGAACCGACGCACAATTGCACATCCCGAGCGTATGGGTACTGCGAGATGAGTCGGATGACAGTGGCGCCGGCGAAATGTGGTCCAGGGAGTATCACCATGGCATTGGTGGTGACACGCACAACCGATGAGGAGGGGAACTCCGTCTTACACTGCATTGTTATAGCTTAATTTCAAGCGTGGCTACTTGTGCTGCCTACTACAACCTGCAAGTAGTATATTTGTCTGCGCGGCAGATTTTTAATGTTCTGCAATCTGGTGAAGGTTTGCGTGCATTCAGTGAAGATTACATTCAAATCTACCATCTTTACCACGAATGGCTGCCTCAGCCTTATCGATGGGTGCAGGAGAGTTGTTTCAGCATCCACTTTGGATATTCTCTGCGTGACACATGCGCCAATTTGCCAGTGCCTTTGGGAATTCCTCTTTTGTGGCGATTCGTATGCCTACACGCACAGTCTCTGACTGCCCTTTTATCGGTCTCCCACCTGTTCGTCTGGTCGGCTGTTTCTTGCACAACAATTCCAATCGCCTGTCCAAGCACATTAAGTGGTCCAGTCGTGACGTAGTTGTGAATATCGATGTGAAACGCTTTCTACCATTTGATGATTACTCTTCTGTGCTGGATAACATCCTCCATACAGATAAATCTTGCTCTCACCTCTCAGTGCGAACCATAAAGGAAGTTAAGACGATAGTCGCCTCCTCCTTCTCCTCCTCCTCCTCCTCCTCTGCCTTCACAGTGCTGCCCAATTTAAGATCGCCGCACTATTTAGAGTTGGCTTGGTGAACGACGCTTGTTCAGTCAAGGCACCACACCTTCCAGTAGACTCCTAACCTTGTACTGGTTCTCTAGCTCCTTTGCCAACCCTCCTGGGAAGAAAAGCATTGACGACTCCATTCATCTCCTGGGAGGGGGATTGGTGGCGTTTGCCAAGTGAGTACGCATGCAGTGGAGTTTCTGTGAGCATGCGGTTAACCTCCGAGTTTTATACATCTTTTTCCACTCCACTCATCAGCCCTTTTCAAATGCTTTCATGCCGATGTGAATGACAGCAACAGTGATAAGGAGACTCGTGTCACTGTTCGGTTCTCTTAGACTGCACAGACTCCACGGTCAGGTTGGAGGTGATGGCTTCACATGACAGCTTTCCGCAACACTTATTGACACGAACATTCACCGGCTCTTCCACAACCCCGACGTTGAAGTCTGCCAGTCAGTCTGAAAACGGACTTGTCAAAGTCTCCTTCTGGCTTGATAAAGTTGCTCTTTCTTGTTCTCTGCATAGTCACCTTTAAAGCCTCAACTGCTTCCATATGGATTCTTTGTTTCCTCAACTTCGTGGGCGTCAAACTTTCCAATCCCAGCTACAGCTAAAGGTCGCATGTCTGAATTTGAAAAACAGTGGTCTTTGAGGCACGATTACTCACCCAACATGCGGAAAAGCATCATTAACTTGTTTTCCTGTCTCATGTAATTAAACAAGCATGTATCCGCTCTATTTAATAGCCTGTTTGCAATCAAGGAACGTCTCACCAGTCTGGTATTTGCATACCTTTTACGTTCCACCAATCACTGCACTCGCCTTGCAAGGTCACGTCTGACCTAGTTACAGGACTTGAGGATATCACCCACTGTTTGTCGTGAGCGTTTTCGTTCCTTCACTGCTGTGTTAGTCTTACCAAACGCTTAATCAATGAAGTTTGTATTCTCTCGTCACCGTTTCAACTGCCCTGACTCTTCGCTAAGATAATAGCAAGACTTTCTGCGTTAAACGAAATTGAGAGATAGTGAAGTCTCTTTTGATGATAAACAAGCGCTTTACACATTACTAATCGTATTTCTCCTCCTCTGCTCCT